TGTGGTAAACCTCCTTTTTGCCATAAAAACTTATTATATATAACTATAACTATAACCTTGTCCCTTTCTTTACTACCACCAGTAACCTACTTGTTAGGCTCATCCATGACTCTCATTCTAATAGTAAAGTAAAAATCATACTGTATTTGGGAATTACAGACTGAGAAAGTGAGGAGAATAGAGCTGGATCCATATGCACTTTATGTAAGAAGATGACATTATAATAAAAAGAAGTATAAAGAGTGATACTGGAAAAAGTAAATATGAGAAAGAGTGACGGACAAGAAACGGTGAGCTTGTTAGGTAGAGGCAATGAGAAAGAAAGAGAGATCTGATCAAACATTCAGGTGGTGTGTTCTTGTTAAAAAAAAGAAATCCTTGTCAACGAGGAATGCAGTCAGCCTAGAATTTATTCATAGATGCATTTATAATGCATGCCCACAGAATGAATGGCTTCCCATGCATCTGGGCATAGCATGTGTGTGTAACCCATACATGTCTGTGCATTCTGTCTGGGAGACAGGACAAGTGCTGACTGATGAGAGAATATTTGTTTTAACGAGACTCCAGGGTGAATTTACATTCAGGGTGATTTGGTTTCTCACTTTACACTACTTCTACCACGGTCTGAGGCTACTGGAAGCATACAGCATCAGTCTACAGCTTGTGTGTGTGTGTGTGCGTGTGTGTGCTCAGGATGTCTGCTTACCTATGTGTTTGTGCAGCATGTATGATTTTTTTATCGTATGTCATTGGTGAACCTGTGTGTGACTGTATGTGTTTGTTGTTTGCATATATACATGTGAAAGTGAAATGAATGAGTGTGTGTTGGCCATAAACTATTGATTTTGCTATTGCCACTTGACATTTTCTTATACTTGTCCTAAATATCATATGGATTATTCTATGAGTGAATTAGTTGATTAATTTATTAAATTATTACTCACTTACTGTGTGAATGATTAGTAACAGTCCTGTGTTTTTGCTATTATTAAAAATAAATAAACCAAGTGAAAATGAATCACTTAGTTTAAGTCATAGCTGCAGCTTTGGTTAATATTTGACCTCAGTACTTATAGATACTAAGGACAAAAATTTTGTCCAAACATTGCATAATTTCAATTTGCTGTCGGGTGAAGAGAACAAACAACAACAATAAAAACAAAGATGATCAGTTTCACCACACAGCAAAGCCCTGACAAATAGCAGACACAGTCCAGACAACCCTAAAAACAGATGAGGGGGCCCCTCAGCAGGTTAACACCACTGCAGACCTGCAACATTTTAAAAGTTCATTTCAGTTGGTAGAAGTTGTGAGAAGAATTTGGAAGGCTTACACCCAATGAAATAAAGAAGGATTTATTCTTTTAGCCCTTGTAGCAGGAACCCTAAAATAATGGCCAGATGGGAGTAACTCAAACTCTGGATGAGCCAAAATAGCTTCAAGTCTTCCTACAAACATGCTTTTTGAAGATGTCAGAAGGCTGGACTTGGCTCACCCCATACATTTTCCTTGACACCTTGACAAAATTATTGGGTCTATTTTTGCAGGATAAGCTGAAACATCCATATCACACCACAGTACAAAAACACAAAACAGAGTCAGTATTAAAGCAAACGCTTCATGGATCCACAAATACTGAAAGACTTATTTTTTTTATTTGAAAGAACTGTGCTTTCCTATAAACCAGATCAACATCTATTTATCTATCCATTATCTATACCGCTTTTCCTGAAGAAGGTTGCGGGCGAGAAGTGGGGTACACCCTGGACAGGTTGCCAGTCTATTACAGGGCTGACACGTAGAGACAGACAACCACACACACCCACATTCACTTCTAGGGGCAATTTAGAAATGCCAGTCAACCGAAGCTGCATGTCTGTGAAAGCCAGAGTACTTTGAGAGAACCCATGCAGGCAAGGGATAACTTGGGGCTCAAACCCGGAACCTTCTTGCTGTGAGGCAACAGTGCTAAGCACTGCTCTGCCATATCAACATGTTCCAATTTCAGTTTGCTGTCAATGACTGGCTCAAGATTTTTATAACTGTCCACGAGGGTGAATTCAGAGCCTTGTGTAACTGTTAATGTAGGACAAGGGAAGGGTTTACTAAAACCATCAATCATGTGTTTTATTTTACTAACATTAAAACGGAGGAAGCACTGTTGGTACCATGATACAAAATCTTTAACTATAGCACCACAGCCCTGTTCCTGCTGCACATTTTTGTACATGATCCAACAGCCATAAGTGTACAAAATTTAAAATAGAGGGGATAAACAACAACCTTATGGAGAACCAGCAAAAGAGTGTCTCACCTTAGGATGAGACCCTTTACTTTTACATACTGCTTCATACTGGTTAAAAAGTCCACTATAGCCAATTCAAAGAAACATAAGCGTCTCTGCAGGAATATATGAAAGCATGACAGCACAGGAAGATCATGGGTCATTCACCTTGCTATACTGTACTTTCTTTAAGCAAGCCACTGCTTGTGGCTGATATCTCTGCAGAGGGGGGTCAGTGAAGTGTCTAATTGCCTAACTATTAATGCTCCATTAAACTAAATTAGAATTAAACATAAAAATAGTCTCCTTCAATAAAAGTCCCAAGATATATGGGTCAGTGGTGTTAATACACACCTGTTTAGGGGATCTTGACATTTTAAAGATTTTAAAGTTCATTTATACTTGCCAAACACAACCTCATTAGGCCAGTCAGACCTGTTTTACAAGATTAATTTTACTGCCAATATTGGAAGAATTAAGTTGCTTTCTTGATTTGATACTAAATTGGACATTGATTCAGTATCTATGGGCATTTAATGGGTTACACCGAAGAGTGAAAGCAATGATCTGAGTCAGTCTCTTACTAGGATCAGTTCCAGTGAATGAAATGAAAACTATTTTTCAACTAGACAGCACTCAGAGAGTGCAAACCTCCGCCAAGGAGCTCAGTTTCCCCATAAAGCCCTTCCACATAAAAAAGTATTCTTATGATAGTTTGATCCTTATATGATTCCTTGACTATGAAAACCTACCTATAGCATTAGGAATCACATTCGTATCAGTCATGTTCTGTGCCACTTCCTGGTTTTTGTGCAGATAATCTTGCCCTGTCTACCCTGTGGTGACTGTGCTGATTGCAGCTGATCTGCCACACCTGGTTAATCAGTTTCACCTGTGGCTTCTTGTGCTGTCTATTTAACCTGCCCTGCTCTTTCCTCTAGTTGTCTGATTGTTATTTGTTGTACCATAGAATTTTCCCAGCCAACTCTGTTCCAAAATTATATTGTCTGTTTACCGGACCTGGTTTTTCTGCTTTGTTGCCTCTGCTGTTTCTGAACTGCTGTGAGTTGCTGTGTTTTGACTTTTGGGGTGTTCTTGACTGAGTTCTTTGGAAGTTGTCTGTTTGTGCTTCTGCTCTCCCTGTGATAGTTTTTCTGCGGATTTAGCTCAGTTGTTTTTCATTGCCTTCTGTAGCCAGCCAAAAAGAACTGTTTTTTGTTTTTAGCACATGAAGTTCTTGTTTTTCGCCTATCAGTGTGGATCCTGAAGGTCTAGCTATCTTCCTCTAGTTTGTCTTAGTCCTCCATGTGTAGTAGATGCTGCCATCTCCTGCCACACTCTCTGTTAAGAAGACAACCTGTGTCAAAGCCACTCCTTGCCACCTCAGTTACAAGAATATTTACTGTGTATGTTCAGTTTCTGTTTTGCACAGACTGTCCACGCATGGTGCTTACCTCACGTTGCTGTATTACAAAGAACTACGTTACAGTCCGCTGTCCTTGGGTTTTTCCACCTGAACCTAGTGCCTTCCACCTGTAAAACACATCCACCATCTACTGCATCAGTTTCAGCTGCAATTTAGTCTTGGTTGCAAGTGAAGCCTATAAACTTTAACATTCTGGACCAACCAAGAAACAAAGGCCAGTAAAAACATTCCCTGAGAAGTTATCATAAACCAAATGTGTTGTTTTCAACCTCCAGAACATTGACATGGCTTAGGGGAAGGTTGTCTAGAACTACTCCCCCACCCCCCTCCTTTTTTGGGTCTTCAGTGGTCTTCACGGGCAGCTGAAGAATGCCCATGGTGACACTTCTGTAAGGTCATTAGCCATTGTCACTGCCTGAAATGCACATTTAGAAACTTTTTTTTTGCAGTCCACATTGAGGCTAAGAGGCAAAATAAAGTAAACAATGTTTCCATAATGTTGAAAATAAAGTCAAACTTCCATATTTTGACTTTATTTTCAAAATGGCATTTTAACTCTATACTAAGAATTGTCTTATTTTCAGCAGGCAAAAAAAAATTTTCTTATTGTATCATTTGTCATATAGCACCTATATGAATATGGCAGAAGGCCACATTAAAGAAAAAGTGTAGGATTCTGTTTTTGAAGGTCAAATTTTGGCTTTAGTCTCAAAATGGTGTTCAACATTTTTCTTGATATTTAGATTTTATTCTAAAAAAAAACATTGAATTTCCTCCTGGTTTTCACATTACAAAGCCGTACAAGTACATATTTCCTGTAATTGGTCTTTACTTTGAGTGTAAACTGCTATTTTCAACCCGCAGTTTCAACTCTGCTTAGTGGCATACTGTAAATCACAAACACACATACAGTACACAAATTAAGTGTTGCACTATTTAGACTTGACTGAGGATTTACAAATGAAATACCTGAAAATAAAAAATAGAAAAATGTAAATGTTACAGAAGTTTTCAGACATGTGAAGAAATAGTATTGCACAAGGATTTTTTCTTATATTTTTTTCTCTAATAGATATTTTTAGTGAGGGAAAAAAATTAAACACACGAGTAATACCATGCAAGTTTGAGTTATGTACACCCCAAAACAATTCCACGTTCCGCCTCTAGATGTCCCCCTAACAAACTACTGCCACTCTTCGAGCCCGATTGGTAGCTCCTCTGAGATTCATGGACGCTCTTTGACTGTTTACAACATCAATGTCGGAAATTGGCTCTATTTTGTAAGTTTTTATGGGCTATTTAGCACAGACAGCCTTAAAACGTGAACTCGGTTGGTCGGTGTCAAGACACTCCATTAACGCGTGTTTTCATCAGAATAATACGGTTTAATCTGTGGATACCGTGAAGCGGCGTGGTTCGTTGCTCCACACTGTTTTTCCGCAAACTGGTACAGAGCTTAGTGGGAGTGGTTTAGGTGTTGTTAAAAAGGTTCTCTCCTGATGAGGATGTATCAGTCCCCTGGCCAAGGTCAGTATTGTCTTATATGTGTCCCGAAAAAGTCAGGTACTGTTAATGGAGAGATGTTATTGCCATAGCAGTGGGGTAAAATCACATGCCGATCTTTAGAGAAGTCCCTGTGGAGAAACACCCATTTTTGCGTGGTTGATGTGGGTTGTTTTCGTTGCATGAAAACAAAGTGGAAATAATTAACCAGATATGATTTAATTGTGTTCGTCGGTTTTACTCTGAGTGCTTTGTCCTGTTAAAATGAAAAGTGTGGGCAGATGTGTGCAGGCTGGGAAGGTTTTGACATGAGATCTGGCAACAGCGCTATTTATACCCGTGACATGCAATAGACTGTGGCTACAAACTTCCCCTTCTTTCTTTATGGCAGGTTGCTCTGCTTCATCAGCTGGGTTGTACATTTGTGAGTCAGTTGTCATACATGCACAGAAGGCTTTTTAAAAACTAAAATATGTCTGGTGAAGACAAATTTTCAGAAGTTTTTAGTTAAATTTACTTACAACATATGTAAGGATAACTTTGTTTCTATATGAAAAAAGTTGTTTAGAGATTGTATTAGATATGAATTATGTAGCAAACTGGAATTTCAAGTGGACAGTTCAGCTTAATTTGTAGACTGAACAAAGTTACTGTGCGCACCTTTAATTTCAACTGTAACATCTGACACTGCTTCAAGCATGTCAAAAGGACTCTCACACTGTTAGTAACACTTTAGTTATCCATAAAGTGTAACAAAGATCTCATCTTCATGCGTTAAGGAATTGTATGAATCACCACATTTAGTCAATGAGGTATTTTCTTTTGTTATGCCTCTGTGCCGGCGATAGCCAAGTCCGGAGGTATTTTGCTTTCCAGTTGACTGTTCATCTGTGCTTCTGTCTTTCTATCTGGCCGATCCTTGTGAATGCTAAATGTTGTGTATGCCTTGAAGGAATTTGAGAGAAGGTTGAAGTAATTAGATTTTGGTGGTCAAGGTCACAGCTATAGAAAAATCTTTGCAATATATGTTTACAAGTATGCTGTCATATTTTTGTAACAAATTTTGCAGCATTACAGTTTTTCCTCTTCAGCACAAGATTGATTCAGCTGATCAATGAATGAAAATCAGTCAATTATTTAGACATCTGATAAATAATTGAATGTTCTTCAGTTATTTTTTGTTTGTAGTTGTCTTGAGTTATTCAGTGATCACTGTTGGTGTTACTTATTATGCATGTTAGTGTTGTGTTCAGGCTGCTTGTTTCGGGGGAAATTATTAGCCAGAGAATGGCTGGTGATAAACTGGGATTAGAGATTAAATGAAATAACTTCCTGTAGACAGAAAATGGACAAAAACAAGAAAAGTAACAACAGTGTGTGTCTTTCAGTTCTCAGTTCTTGATAAATCAGCTGATTGAAAGCAGGCTCCTGTGGATCCCAGCCATGGATGAAGAGTTCACGCCTTTGGAGTGCCTGCTGCCCTCAGGTACTGCCTTTCAAACACACATTCCCTTGGTGCAAACAGTCAATCAAATACGCAGGTCTATGCACAGGCATATATGGTATGTTTACAGACAAGCTACAGTCGCACACCTATCAGGACTGAAACACAGACGATCTGTGTGTATCTGATCAAAACACACACTTATTCACATCACTGTCACACTTGTCTTCCTCTTTCTGCTTCTCCTACTCACTCTGACACAAATAGTCTTGAGGGAATAAGAACTCAAAAACAAGTCACAGGCACTTTCATGACAGTGTGTTGTCATGAATGTGTGTATGCACTTCCTTGTGTCTCTGCTGTTAGGCTGCGTACATAATGAATCTTAGCTGAAAGATGGTTTGTTTAGTTTGTTGTGTTAGCCCTTTGAGAAAAATATTACTGCTTTTTTAGCCCAGTGAGTTTGAACTCCGGTGTTTTTCCTGTGTTATGTTGGAACAAGATGAATTTATATAATGACAAGCATTTTATTCAGGAGCTACATTATTCATTTTTAGGCCACAGTACACTCATTCTCCCCTTTTCAAAGGCATGTAGGAACTTTGCAAAAATTTTTACCCAATGATGATTGTACATAAATACACATATTTTCTGATGATGTATAAAATCAGCTCCATCTCTCCAGATGATCAGCTCTGACTGCCCTACAGGCCTGAGGAGGAGGCTGGTTACAGCTGCCTTTAACCACTTCTCTAAGGTCAAGGTTTATGTGAGCTCCCTGGTGGTGTGTGTATGAGTGTGGAGGAAGGAGCGCTGATATGAGCCTAAAGACAGGTTTACCCAGAGCTATAAAGGTCAGTGGGATTGTAGAGCAGTGTGCCCTGGAGAGCAGACAGCTGGCACATGTAGTTTCCTCTACAAAAATAAACATTATGGTCCCCGATAGCTCAGCTGTCTCACAGCTTTAACCTACTCGCATTCCTTTTTTGATTCTTTGGCTTGCTTGCAGCATTCACAGATGAGGTGAGTTCAGTAAGCATATTGTGTGCAGCTTACTGACAAGATGCAAGCTAGTTTTAGTTTGGTGGTACCACTTTATTTCTACCCACCACTGTTTGGATAGCTGAAGCAGGGTTTCCCCTACCATAGAAAGGCTTAGGCACAGCATCTAAGGGTTTTTGCGGCACGCCTAAATCAAATGAATGTACAAAGGGGCCATATCAGATTAAATGTAAACACAACAATGAGTTATATACACTGTAAAATAAGAGTTGACTTTATCTCAAAATGAAGAGTAAACTGGCAACAGGAATAACTTGTCAGTCAACAACCAGTGTTTGGGTAAATGTTTGTGTGATTGGCAACATCGCCAAGCTAATCAAACAGCTGATTTCTCTGTCCCAGAAACTCAGGATGGTCGTTACAGCTATGGATAAGGTTAACCTGCACAAAGAATGCATGAGGTAGGCTAGAATTTTGATGAGTAATTTGTGTGAATGTTAACAATCGAGAGAGCAGAATGCCAAGTTTACAGGTAACGAAATTGCTAATGTAGCACTGAAGTAGTGAATTAGCAAAGTTATGTTAGTTAAGGAAACAAGTTAGTTAATGTTATAAATATAAAAAACAAAAAGCCCTGAATTTGAATCTGAAAGCCCATACTGAAGAATCTTGTATCGGGCTGTATTTGTAGTTACATGAACTATCCTGCCTCAGCCTCTTGTTGTTTACAGAGTGGAATGTGAAAATAAATACACCAACAATAAATAACATGGGCCAAGAAATGCAAGGTGCAAAGTGGAGAACAGTTTTTTTTCTTGTAGGTGATAAAGTGATTTATTATTGTCAATCACTTTATTGCCACTGCAAATATATTGCAACGAAAACACAATCACTTAGCACCTTGTATATTATTCATAATATGGGCAATAAATAAAATATCAATGTACAATATACAAGAATAATTAAAATTGTGTATCATATATTTACAGTAGAACACCATGGCTGCAGAAAGTATCCAGACCCCTTCACTGTTGCACACTTTGCTTTGCAGGTTTAGTTTTAATTGGATAAAATTGCCACCTTTGCCCTTCAGTGTACACTCAGTAACCCATAATGGTTTCAGAAATTGTTGCAAATATTAAAATTCAAAAACTGATATCCCATTTCTAAAAGTATTCAGACACCCTTTTAACAGCAATTACAGTGTCAAATTTTCATGAATAAGCCTCTACAAGCTACGCACACATGGATTTGGACAGTTTATGCCATTCTTCTTGGCAGATCTTCTCATGCTCCATCAGACTGGATGGAAGTGTTTTTCACTTTGTCATTGTGGATTATTGAATTAGATCGATGGGCAAAAATGGCAGCTTTTTATTCATTTACAATTAAATCTGCAAAAAGTGAAGGGGTCTGAACACTTTCTGAAGCCAGCTGCAATATGCTGCATTGATCTTTTCCCTCTGTGTCTCTCTCTGTATATCTCCACTGATTATTGATGAAGGTTTAAAACCACTATAACCATCTCACTAGACTACAAAGGCTACTGTAATTGTGTTTTTCTCTGTGTACATATGTTTGTGTGTACTTGACATCCTTGTGTGTGATTTGCACTGAAGAGGAGCACACCGAACTGCTGCTGACTTTCTATGCTTTTACAGCTTGGAAATCAATAGCATACAAAGGCCAACATCAGTCAAGAGACACTCACTTCCTATAAAAAGCTATCAGCAGTTTTGAAGCACCCACTGAAACAAATGTTTACCTGAACATGTTTGCTAAGTATTGAAGGCTACACTCTTGAGTTTGCTCTCTGTACAAATCCAAGATTTATTCTGCAGATTTCACAGGCGCAAATAAACCCCAAATGGCCACAGAACAAATCCACACACACCTATCTTCCTGATGATATCATTTTGTTGATAAATCTGTCACTTGCTATCAAAGGTAAAGGATGTGTTTGAGATTCCCTGATTTATACACTTTAGAAAAAAATTTCCCAACTGTGGTGTAGTGAAACATTTTTCTTCCATTAGACAAGTTTAGACTATGTTTCTTTGGTTTTACACTCTGAGGAGAATTTCAAAACAGCCCCTGGATGTCTGCATTTTAAAATCCCTAGTGTGATTTCAACATGTTAATTATGAATTCCTGTTCCTATTCCCATGTGCTGTGTGCTTGAAGTGTTTGTGTTTGTGTGTGTGTGTGTGGTATTTATGCTGTCTGACACTTTTAAAAGCATCCCAAGGTGACATTTCTTTGAACACAGTGCACGGAGGGCTGCAAACCTCCTTGTGTGCAGGGAGGTAGGCTACGTGTTTGTGTAACAAAGGGTTATCTGAGAAGTCACGGCTGGTTGAGTTTCTTTTGTTCTCTGTACACCTCCAGCCAATTAAGAGACATGACTGACAAATCTACTCCTCCTCTTTCTCCTCCTCAACTACCCCTCTGTGTATCTTCCTTTCTTTTCCTGCACTTTTGTCTCCTTTAACTTCTCTTCCTTTTACCATACTCGGCTGGGGTTGATATTGGAAATGACCTTCCAGTGATGTGAACTTTTTAGCAACATCAAGCCTGTTGCTGTAACAAAGTTAAAACTCCAAAGGACTTTTTTTTCTCCCCCCTGCTCACTTCCTCTACCAAACCAAAATGCACTTTTTACACTTGAAGGTTTAAATCCAGAAAGGTTGCTTTTTCTTCAGGGCACAAGGCGATGCACATTTTGCAGTGAAACGTTCATGAAACCTGAGGTTTTCTTCACTGTTTGTCTGTCAGCAAAAGTGTACTGGGTTTATTAGATTTGGTGCTGGCCCAAAACTGGGATTCAATTGGGATGAATTAACATAAATACAGTTTAGGAGAGGGAGAAGTGAGCACTGTTATCAGAGTGCGTGCTTCTTGTATATGGCATTTTGGCTTTGCTACAAAAGGCAACAACTTTAAAAATGAATGTGAAATCATTCATAAGAACGGACGTGCAAAGGAAATATAAATGATCAGGCAATGGGAGAGGGAAAGCTGTGCCTTAGTCTTTGGTCCATTACGTTTCCTTTGGCAGCTCGTGTTTTACTTTGACAGTGAATGCAGACTCCTTTTATTTATTTTTTCATCTCCTGTAGATAGAAAAATGACAATTCCAAAGTATTAGTTGGTGGATTTGCATTAGCAGCAGAGCAAAAGAAAGATGGATGGGAGACTGAGAGAGGAAATATTAAATGAAATGTTGCACCCTGGGAATGCGACTTTGACACGGAGGCATGGAGGTACACGGAGATGAAAGAGAGAAACAGTTTGACAGGTTATTTTCATGAGGGCTGTTCTGAAAGGGCTTTTCTCTGTTATGTAGTTACAGATGGTGTGTCACTAAGTTCAGCTTATTCAGATGAGCATTGATGAAATGCGAGGTTAAGTGCATAGATTTTCTTTTTATGAATAATAAAGACTTTGATATTGTTGTGACCCCACATTCAGGAGCATAAAGGTACTGTAGGGACATTGTTGCATAATTTGGATACATATTATTTGTAATTTAGTTAGGCTTTGTTATCTTTTTTTATTTTTATTTAGCACAATGAGTACCTCAACAGGCCCATGTCTGTATTTAAAGGACATTGCTGTGAACATGCAAGTAATATGTTCTGTCTTTTCTATTTGGTTTTTATGCTCAGTTGTCTGTGGCCTCACCAGAGTTTGTTATGGCCTGTACCATCCATGGGCAAAGCCAGGGGTTGGCCAGGGGTGGCACCGCTCACCAACCGAATCTGATTGGCCACCCCTGCCAGAGTCACAATGTGATACCTGTCAATATTAATGAATACAAAATGAAAAACAGTGGGGACACGACCACTGTGCAACAGCGATGGCCCCGGCTAGGGCTTAATAAGGAGTGCAGCCAAAGTTAGCCAAAAGAAAGCACCGTCTCATTTTTACACAAAAAAACTATTTGATTCTTAATGACGTGTGGTTTTATTATATCATAGGGGTTTTATCGACGTTTTTACATGCATTTCAAAAGTGCCACCCCGTCCGAAATTTTCTAGATCCATCCCGCTACCACTGTGATTCATCATTTATGTTTTTCCTTATTCAGGCACACAGAGGATCTGTCTAATCATTCTGAACCAGCCTCTGGACAAGGACTACCTACATATCCTCTGGAGTAAAGGTAAATATTTCACAGATTACAAATAAGCACAGACTACTTGCATCCCATCTGCATTGGTCTGCACTGAGCATGTATCCCCCTGTTATGTTTTTGTTATACTCTGCTCTCTAGGTTGTACTGTGCAAAGTCTTAATTGCTGCCATGTCAATGAAAATGGCCCCTCCCTGCCCTCTGCCTACATTTCTTGTGAGAGCTGTTTTAATGAAGTTAAAAATGACATTTTTTGCGGATAATAATTTTCATTTCTACCAGGGTGACTTTTTATTAATTTTTTTTGTGACTTCTATGTCTGCATGACCTGAACAATTATTATGTTCAAGACAAAAATGATTTTAAATAGTAGGAACTTTATTTTGCATTCACAAGAGAATTTATGGCACAGTTGTCAACAGCTGAACGTGTGTAACAAAATGACACTGCAGTAAACTATAAAATCATAGTTGCGTATAAACTAATCAAAATAAAATGAGCCTTGGTCAGTATCTATGGTGAAGTTAACTTTGATTTAAATACTTTTAGATGATCAAATGAACCCTGTATTTGACCTCATAAGGACTGCAGTGATTTCATCTATTATTTTCACAGACCATTAGTTTTAATAATACTACGTTCTTAACTGTAGACTTTAAATCCTATTGAAAGCAGTCCTGTAACAATTGTAACAAAATCTGCACATCCATTTAGATTTATTCACGTGTGTATACATTCACTATGTATAACTGGTTAGTAAATTATATGAACACAGACAGAAGCAGTGCATTAAGTTCATTCAGCTGGAGCATGACATGGTGGATATAAACAAATCCACTGGACCCAAGACCACTGCATTCAGTATGTGGGTGTTTCAGGCTTAACAAATCTACCATCAGATCTGTGTATATCAGTGATGCCTTTTTGTAGTCTTTTATCAGTGATGGGATATTGTCTGGCTAGTCCTGCACATAGGAAATACTGTACAGTCCTGCACTATGATAAACGATTTTTTCATTGAGGCACAGCACTTATAATGGACACAGTCTTCTGGAAAAAAGGTCAGAAAATTTCAAGCAGGACAGGGGCTGTGCATTCAGACAACTCAAACATGCACAAAAGGCTCATTGTTAAAAGAGGATGAATACTGTTTGAAGCAAAGTAGAACTCCAGACTCCCTGAGCTGTCCCTTATTAGATGCACTGATGCATAGCAGTTTGCTGTGATGTATTAAATATGCAAAGTTGACTGAACCTTTAAACTAGTCATCATCTTCTCAAGCTGTATCCTACAACTTCATTTTTATATTTAAATCTGGTGAGCTGTTCAGAAACGGCATAACAACAAAAATAACCTGAACCAAACCATGGAAAGTGGCGTGGATCAGTGGTTCTCAATAGTTTTGAAGCTGGGCCAAGAAACAACGTACAAAAGCTGTTGGAATTTGTGTAATATAACTTATGCAGTCAGCGAAAGAGGTTAGATGAGTTAAAAAGTAACTTTGAAGGCAAACTTGTCATTAATTCCACATCACAATGAATTTTAATGAGCACAACTTTGATATTCTTATCAACTTGGCAAAACCCAAGAGGCATCTGAGCTCTTTTTATTGCACAGCAGTTGCATGGTTAGATAGACACAACTCTCTTGGTTTCTGCCGTTTCACTAAAAGACCTTTTAGAAAATGTTTGATATACAAAGTAATTTCCTCACCTTTTACACGACAGGTTGCTAGCTGTACAAAGATAAATAATGTTTGGGTAGTCTTAAGTGGAAGAATAAAAATATATAATTTAAAGAAGAAAAAAAAACACCTGCTAAAAGGATTTGGAAACATTTTAAATGTGACAAAGGGATTTGCAGTTGTTACATAACTTTAATGCATTTGAACACCAAGACAACTTTTCATTATTAAGCTTAAAGAGCCCATGGCATGCTCATTTCCAGCCATTTAATAGTTCATCTTGGGTACCTCTAGATTAGCTTTGACGCAACTGAGAGACCCCATATTTTAACTGGCATAATGCAGACATAGTAACTTTTCTAGCTTGGTAGTGAAATTAATTCCAACAGATATCGTAGCACTGACAGTGACATCATGGATTGCTAATCTGTTTGCTAACCAGCAACACATCACATGCGGCGGACACACTGGCCTCAAGCAGTCAAAACAAACAGGTGCTCCAGGGGAATCCAGCGTTGGTGAGCTGATTATTTACCACCCCGGGGGACTTCACAGGCCGGCTGCTTGTAGGTTAGACCTGGTCAGGTAAAACAGCGAGTCCCTGTACATGAACATTCCCGGACATGCAGTAACCTCAGGCCCTGTATTTTTCTCCACATCCTTTGGCCACAGTGCAGCAGCAGGAGGGAAAATGTATTCACAAAATGACATGCAGTTGAAAAATTCTGCTTTTACAATGGCACCAGTGGATGTCAGGCAAGCTCACATGAATGCGCAACTGCCTGTAGATAATGACCATTCAAGGAAATCCTTAAACAATCATGCAATACTCAATTTTATTAGATAAAAGTCTTGCTAGTGAGGTTTTGAGACTTGTATAAACCGAGTTGCTTCTGTATAGAAATACTAGAACATAGATACACCTTGTTTTTTTGAGCATTAGGTCACATCTAAGATGTGACCTAATTTACTTTTGTAACATTGTAAATAAGTCAAAGAAACAGGGAAAAGCATGCCATGTGCTCTTTAAGGCACCAAGCCAGTAGTTAATGGTCAGCCCCCTTTGGGGCATTGGTGAGCACTTGTTGCCTTCATCTTTGCTGTGTGTCACACATCGCTGGCACTAGTCAGACCCTGTCGGTGGCTTTTCGGCCTATTCAACATGTTGAATCGGTGATGGTGGACCTCGCCAGCAAGAGAGACCACTCAGATTGGTTGTTCAGCTTATCAAATCAATGCATGAGAAGAGAATGGTTCAGGGAAGCCCATTGAGCCTGTTGTTCTAATATCCATAATTTCATCAATTTAGTGCAGTTTCTCCTTGTTTTTTGTCTCCACAACCTCCTTTCTTCTCCCACAACCAAAAGACCAATGGCAGAGAATGGCACTGTCATTTGCAATTTCTTATCAGACATAATATCGATTAAACAAGAGCTGCTTTGTTTACAGCTTGTTTCTGCAGTCTAGCTCTTCTTCTTTTCCTTTCTGAATGGCAAATACAGATACCGCCACCTGCTGGTAGAGTTATTTCTCTCATACAGGCGCAGAACGTCTGTGCTAGTTGGCTGTTGTCTGTGGTGTGTTCACGTGTCACCTTTTTTCAACCCAACAGTCTGCCTACACTACTGCTAGCTCGTTCATGTCAGCTTGGTGTGTCTCTGCCCTAATTTGTGTTTTTTTCTCTACCACCATGCAGAGATATTAGACTTGTAATAGGTTCTTCACACCCTGTTGATTGTAATTGACCCTTGACAGATTGCAAATTAATATTTTTGGTTTAATATCCTTATTTTTAAATTCTAACTGTTACAGCTCACCAAAGTTTAACTGATGTGGTTATAATCCAGGGAATAACTTGCACATACATACAGTACATTGAGAGCTTTTGCATATTGTTTTTTTTTTATATTAAGTTAGAATTAAGTATTTTCCATTATATAGGAATAGGACTCATAGGGCAGATCATCAGACCATTTGTGCCATTTGGCAGCCACTTTAAGATAGATGGAAGTATCAGATGTACTCTGACAACAATATGGAGCTTGATAGTCTGATATAGGAGATTTGATCATTGGCTTAGTTTTATTACAAAATTTTGCAGAGATTTTTGGGTGGTTTCTGAAGTGCCACAAGCAATGCTATGAAATAGGCATGCTTTTTTTGATCAGTTTTGCTTTTGGCAGCAGTGCTCATGGGACTTGAAGTTTTGACAGGATGATGACTGTGTGTGAATGGCAGATCTCAGATTTCTCAGTTTGATGGTAAACATGCTTGTAGCAAGTTTATTATTCCTCATTTGATTATGCCATGTATTTTTATTGTTTATGGGATAAGCAGATGTCTGTGCGTATTTTGAGTGTGTGTGCCGTCTCCAGATGGTTGTTCACCTGGAGGCATCGTAGCCAGGTCTCCGCCCTTATATTTGCACTCTCATGCACACAGCGCTCTCATGTCCTCTGATGTGGTGCCCTTGAGCCCCCCTCATCACCTGTGGGAGAGGAAGAGCAGCAGGGAGCACAGGAGCAATGGAGGCTAGAAGTGATCAAAGGGAAGTTCATTTACAGGTGCAGAGTATGATGTTGTGAAGTGAGATCAAGTTGCTTATCTCGAACCCTCTCACCCATCTAGTACATCAGTCACCCACTTGCTCATCTACTCAGTCACCCTCTCACTGGTTCACTCAATCAATCCCTCATTTACTTACTTATAAATCCTTCATTTACTCACATTGCAACAACACAAACAAGCATTTCACTAAAGCAATCAGTGAAGATGACTCACTAAATGACACAAAAAGCAGGCATGTGTTTACTACAAGTACCTTGTTTCATCATTTGTTGATGTGGAGTCGCTTGCCGAAGTTGAATTCACCCATCAGCCGGTCGAGTATCAGCCTTGCAATCAAGGCCAGTCGAGTGATGTGGCTGCAGTGTGGTGGCATACACATACACGCATGTGGAGAATCTGAAGAGAGAAGCTGTTAGTGAGAACCGATCGATAGAAATCTAAGGAAAGCTAAAAGCAAATTCCAGCAAGACTGTCAAGAGAGAATTAGCAGAAGAGCTGGTGAAAGTGTGCCACCTAGAATAACAAGGAGAAGGCTACAGTGGAAGAGTAACAGAGAGGAACTAGACGGGAAGAAAATGAAATGTTTGTGCAGGAAATCAATCAAATTTGAGGCAAGGTGTAGAGACCAGGTTGGGTCTGGTGACAGGGTGACAGATAGAGGGTGAGAGGTGGACTGATAGATGAAGAGAGGACATCAAGGCACCATAACACAGATAATAATCTTTTCACTGCTCTCTGTGACCATTTGCCCTCTCCTGTACTGCAGTAAAGCCCCAAC